AAATAAATTAATGAATCTGTGAACTGGTTAAACCATTCTGGAGAACCATTTGGAGTGATGCCCAAAGAGCTACAGAACTGTGCATACTCTTTGACCCAGCAATATCACTACTAAGTCTATACCCCAAAGAGATCAAAGAGAAAGGAAAAGCACTCGTATGTACTAAAATATTTATAGCAGTTCTTTTTGTGGTGGTGAAGAATTGGAAACTGAGGGGATGTACATCAACTGGGGAATGGCTGAATAAGTTATAGTATATGATTTTGATGGAATATTATTTGGCTATAAGAAATACCAGTGGGGGTGATTTCAAAAAAACCTGGGAAGATGTATATGAATGAATGCAAAGCGAAGTGAGCAGAACTAGGAAATCATTGTACACAGTAACAGCAATATTGTAATGATAATCAACTTTGAAAGAGTTAGCTACTCTGATCTGTGACAATTCCAAAGGATTCCTGATGAAAAATGCTATCCATCTCCAGAGAAAGAACTGATGAACTCTGAGTACTGATTGCAGCATACAAAATGTTCATTTTCTTTATTTTTCTTGCCTTTTTGGGCAACATTATTAATGTGGAAATATGTTTTACATGACTTCATATGCATGACAGATACCATATTTTTTGCCTTCACAATGGGTTGGGGAGGGAGTGGAAGAGAGAAAGAAAATTTGGAACTGAAAATAAACATGAAAAATACTTCTACAAAAATTTCATTTTCAAATTCAATACTCATCAAATATAAAGCAATCCTATATCAGTACAATTATTGCAAATGCACGTTCCTCCAAGTGACTGTTTCATAGCAATAAACAATACTCTAAATGAAAGTCTGCTGAATTGGCAACTAGCTCATTTCATCTGCCAGACAAAAGCAGAGAATAACTTTAAGTTGGAAAACAGTCTTAGTACTGCAATGAGAAGCAATATAAGGTTTGTTTAATGCAGAATGTTTATGATGACTTATGATGGTTTCAGGATAGCTTGTAATGTGCATGACCATTGATCGTGGTTTTCAAACAGCCTGACACTTATGATGCAAGAATTGCAAACATCCATAACATCTTATTTACATGATTACATGGTTAAAACCCCTACTATGTTCCAGGAACTGTGCTAAATACTGGGGTTACTCCTGTATAGGGAGCACTGGTTATAATGCATATATATTTTTCATCAAAGTAATATCCATCATAAGCACTTAGCTTACATAACAACCTCTACTTCCTATATAGAAGATGGAATTTCTATGAAAAAAGGCTAGTAGTCAAAATAATTTACAAATATTCCATGTGGTTGGAGTACTTAACATAGAAATAATAAAGGCTTTTAGTTCAGAATTTTGTACCATCCTTGCATACATCAGGGATGCTAAGCATGATGGAGGTACCTAGGGCAATCATATAGCAATGGCCAGTTTGGCTACCCATTAAATTGTATGAAGGGGAGTCTAACAACCAGCTCTCCAGAAAGAAAAATGTTTAATTTTAAGGTTAATCTGCATTATTAACATTTTCTCTGTCACTTTCTTAAGTCTAGACAATCAACAAAACAATAAATCAAGCTTTGATTTGTAGAGTTTGCTGATTTCCAAGGTGTAAATACTGAAAATATAACCATCTATTTTTGTGGGAGCCAGTATGAGCTGGCTTCAGCATACCTTATACCCTCAAAAAAAGCAAAGAAAGAGGAAAAGGGCCTATATATTCAAAAATATTTATAGCAACTCTTTTTGTAGTGGTAAAGAACTGAAAACAAAAATGGTGCTCATTCATTGGAGAATGGCTGAACAAATGATGGTATATGAACATCATGGAATCTTATTGTGCAATAAGATAGGATGAAGGGAACAGTTTAAGAGAAAATTGGGAAATTTTGTTTGAACTGATGCAGAATGAAGTGAGCTAAATGTTTATTAGGAAAACAATTTACACAATAATGTTATGAAGAAAAAGCAACTTTGAAAGATTTCAGTACTCTAATCAATGACCAATACAATGACCAACCACAACTACAGAGGACCAATGCTGCACTCCTCCTGATAGATAAATGATGGGCTTAAGGTACAAAATTAGACAAACGTTTTCGGACATTGCAAATGCGTTATTGTTGTTTTTGCTTGACTAAGCTTATTTGTTACAAGGATTGTTTTTCTTTTTTTTTTTTTTTGAGGTAGGGAATTTGGGGATTAGAAGGGTTCCCTCAGTGGAAAAAAATTGGAAAAGGAAAAAAAGTTTAATTGAAGCAATTTTTAAACTATACAGAAGGAAGTTCAGAAGAAAACAAGTAGGATAGCTTTGAAATTAACATGTTGAATTCATGACATACTTTGTAAAAGCAAGCTAAATGTAATAGAGATTTCATTTTCACATACAGTTTTCTTTTTCTCTTCTATTTTGTATGTGGAAATTCTCTTTGATGCTCATTTAATTCGGGGTTAAAAAATTGAAATGTAAAAACAAAGTGAATTGACTGAATCTCTGTTATACTCAGTTTACCAGGAGATCATGATAGAAATGTATATTAGTTGGATATTGGGATGGAGGAGAGAGAAAGAGGAGAGACTTTGTGTAGGACTAGATGTCCATTCAAGGCAGACCTGGCACCAGAAACCAAAAAGTGCCAAGTGGAGCAAAGAATGAGAGCAGTGGGCTTTGCTCCCATTGGTTGCCAAAGCAAGAAGGTGAAGGCATTTTTTCTCTTGCCTCTTTTCTGTCTGCTGAAATAGAGATATTTTCCCTGGAGTTTTCTACCCCCTTCACATAGAATTTTAATGTGCAATGGAGGGGTTGTTTGTTAAGCTTGATTCATTTAGATAAAGAGATTTTTCTTCATTGTTTATTGAATGCCTTCTGAGTGTGCTAAGGGGAGGGGCTCCTCTGCAAAGAGTTTTATATTTCACAGTGGGTTCCTACCCACTCTTGACTTGATGGTCAAGAGCCATTCATTTTCTCTATTTCTTAAGTAAACTTCCAAGGGCAGAATTGAGACAGAATCTGGGACTTTCTGTCCACACCTAAGACCTGTCTTTTTCTTTGTTTTATGAGAGACAAATACTCTCTCTCTCTCTCTCTCTCTCTCTCACACACACACACACACACACACACACACACACACACACAGAGAAACTGAGGAAAGGCGGGGGAAGTGAAAAGAGGGGACTAAAGTGTAAAATCCCTCCTGGCCAGGGAAATAGAGACAGAGTGATATCTGAGGTTTTGACTGCTATCTTTTTGTGGTTGGGTTGAAGAGGACAGTGTCATCTAGGGGCTACACAAGGACTCCCTATGTTAGTTTTTGGTTTTGAGTGTGTCAGATTCTTACAACTTTGATTTATGTATATGTGGCAAATTCAGCAATTATTGAAGCTAGGTGGTGCTACACCTTGAGTCTGGCAGAGGAGTTCAAATTCAGCCTCAGATTCTTAATAGCTATATTACTCCGGTCAAGTCACTTAACCTGTCTGCCTGTTTCCTCATCTGTAAAATGGGAATTTAAAAGATAGTTGTTAATATTAAAAGCACTTACTTCCCAGGATTGTTGTGAAGATAAAATGAGATAATATTTGAAAGGTGCTTGGCAAATCTTAAAATGCTAAATGAATGCTAGCTATAATAATAATTATTATTAACGTGTCTGGTGGATCAATTATAATTATCTCTAACATAAAGTGAATATAATCTATGGAGGTGTCAAATTTTTGTAAGTCTAGGAGAACTGAATGGTGGCAATAAATATTTTGACTTGGTTAGAACTTGGTAACAGTTATTTATCCACACCCCCTTGGATTCACTCATTTAGTTTCTAATAAGTTTTGTTCTTGAAGGTGTGGGGATGGAGTTAAATTTCACAGAAAATTACATTCAGCTGTCATAAATAAAAGGTATGAACACAAAGTTCCATCCTATATGATAAATACTATATAAAATAAAAATGCTATATATAAAAATGTGTTTCATTTGTCCTTTTAGATGATACAGGAAAAAATTTAACTTTGGGAGTGGGAAAAAATGTTCATTGTATTTTTTTTTAATCCTACTGAGTTATATAGCTCTTCCTGCTCAGTCTCCAGTCATCTTTGATACAACCTCCTAAGGGAGACCATGGGAACTAAGAACCTCTGGTTGCTAATACTCTTTAGGAAAAGAGCAAAAGGAACCAGGACTTAGGCCTCCAGGCATGTTCCATGGGTAGTGCCCTAGTCTAGCAAATCAGAAGCCTTCCTGAGATTACCAACAAATAAAAGCATATGAAACAGGAAGTTACAAACTGGGAAAAATCTTATCATGAAATAGCTCTGTAAGAGATTGATATCTAAAATCTATATAAAATTTTAAAAAATGAGGAAAAGTAATTTCCAATATATGTGATCCAAAAATATGAAAGAAGTTCTTGTTGCACAGTATGAGAAAGCTTGGGTGATTTGCTATCAGCACCTACACCATGAGAGGGAGTACCCACATCCTCGACTTCACAGATGCGTTGAATTACCAGAGTAAACTTGTAGAAGTGTAGTAGATATGTTCTTGGTGGAAGTTGGTAGGAAGAGGTGTTTGAGAGGAAGAAAACGAAAACTGTTTGTGGTAGGAAAAGTTGTGAAAAGGAATTTCTGAGGCGCCAACCCCTAGCCAATTTATTAATTTCCTATGGGTTTCAACAAACATCTTCCACCTTTGGTTTCAGTGAAATATAACCTCCCTCCCTTCGCGGTTTTGGAGAACTTTGTTAAGAAGCTTATCTTTATGTTGAGTCTAAATTTGCTCCGATTTCTGACTTCTGTGGCCATGCAGAACTACATCTAAGGTCCTGTGCGCCTATCTCGAATCCTTCTTCCAGATGAGAGACATTAAAATATTTGAGGATCATTACTGTTTGGTTCTATTAGGGTGAAGTCCATGGGATTCAGAAAACCGAATGATGATCAATAGAGCCACGTGTCTGTCTCTTGTGGACTCTTCCGCTTCTTCCCTCTCCTTTCAGTTAAATCCCACCGAGAGAATTGCGGAGTAGATGGGAATGCAGACTAGCACAACCCAACCACAGAGAAGCTAAAACTTCCTGGATTCCTAGAGGTAACAGGAAGTGGCCAGGGCTGGAGGGGCGGGGGTGGGATGGGGGTGATGATGGTTTACTGTTCCGTGGTGCTGGGGGTGGGCGCAGCGCTCGGAATCTTCCTGTCTCTGGAGTTTGCTACTTTTGTCTAGCTGTCCCTCGGGCTTAGCGGTGAGTGGGTAGGGACTGTGTGTCAGAGGGACCGCGAGGTCCCCTCCAAACCAGGTGGATCCGGGGTGGAACTGCCGTCCTGATCCACGTCCCCCACGCTCGCTGTAACCTGTGAACAGCCTGAAGATCTACTCTGTGGAGAGGGCGCGAAGGAGTTGTGTCTTTCAGCCCGTTTTGCGGAGAAAGCCCTGCCCAGTTTCAGGGTCTGGGGTCTCCTCCTTCGGGCTGGTACCTTTGGACGAGGCGAAACTTCAAAGCAATTTCTCGGCTCTGAAGATGCTGGTGGAGGGTTCGCTTAAGGGTGGGGAAGGGGTGGAGTTTCCAGGAGATCTGGCTTGCTCTAGTGGCTGCAACGAGGGAGGTTGTAACTATTTCTTGAGCCTCTGGGTTGTTCTGGTTGATTTTTGTTTTTAAACTACCAATTCCTTTAGGTATTAGATATAAACAATAGAAAAGGAGAGGTTAATATCAACTTTTTCCACCAAACAAGGGTTAGACAACCTATAGGACTAGCTCTGTGCCCTTATTCTTGAATAGTTCCTGAAATATCAAAAAGCTCAATTCCCTAGGTCAGGCTTTGAAATGTGGAAGAAAACTGGAAACATGATGGAATTTGGTGGTGGAGATCTTTCAGAGTGTGTGCTGTATGCAGTACGAGGAGATATTCTAGAAATTAAATAACAATCCAGGATTGGGAATCGAAAGTTATGTACGTTGGATGAGAGCTGCTGAAGCAACGTCAGGGGAAAAGATGAGGCCACAATCAAGGGGTAGACGCTTGAAGGCGTCTTAGATTTAGATCTTAGATTTATAGCTAGTCCATACACCTTTTTGTTGATAAGGAAGCTGAATCCCAGAAATGTTAAGTGATTTTAACAAGGACACAGATTATGAGTAACAGAACCAAGAATCGAGCTCAGGAATTGGATTTCTGACACCTCTAGTACACAGTTTAGGTAGGTCCTACTTTGTCCTGGTGTCTGTTACCAAGGTACAGAGCTGGGTAGCTGGCAGACCTGAGGGAAGAGAAAAGAGTTATAAATGAAATTGATATTACTCCATGGCTTCTCGCACCCTTTCTCTATAACATCGAATCCTTCTCAATGCCCTCTTCACATCATGATTGTCCTAATTCCTAAGGTTTATGAAGGATCATGCCTCATGTCTTTATCCATCATCATCTAGAACCTTCCATTTTTATTTCTTTAATCTCTCTCGAATTTACTATTTCCACAGTTATTACCATAGTCTTTAACTACCTATTAGAGGGAAAATTTGAATCCTGGTCTTTATGACTTGGAAGACTAAAAAAGTGATTGATCTACTATGTCACAGTGCCTCTCTACCTAAAAGGCAATTAAGGATTCATTCAGATCTTCTCTTTCTGGACTCTGTACTGATCTAAACCTTTGGTTCTTAAGTTAGGGTCTGTGAACTTTTTAAACAATATTTTAATAATGATTTCAATAGAATTGCTTTCCTTTGTAATACTAATCATTTTATTCATTTAAAAACCTTACTCTGAGAAGGTATCTATAGGCTTCCCCAGATTGCCATAATGGTACTTGATACCAAAAAGGTTAAGAACCCCTGGTCTAAACTTGTCATTAATTCATAGGCATTGTTTTTCCTTTCTGCTTTGCTCTCAAATCTAAAGAGATTGCTAATACTTCATAAATATTATTTTCTTTCTTAAACTCAGTATGGCCCTACACTACAGAAGAATAAGTTATCTGAATTTTTTTGACCTTTGAGGATAACAATTTTCTTTCAGTTAGCTTTGTGGATTTTTATTCCTAGACAGTGAATTGCCTTGGTGACTTCATCAGTGTGAGTTTTTTTTAGTAGAACTGGTTCCTTCTTTGTTATCTGTGCTTCTTCCCATATATTAGGAGGGCTTTGGGAGAAGAAACAGGAGTCATATGTCCTGAACCATAAACCTCAGCCAGAAGTGAACTATATTCTGATCTATTCCAGCCCAGAATGGCTGCTACCCTGCCTCCTAGAGTTCCAGAGGAACAGAAAAAACTTCTCACAGTAAAGAATGAAGAAGGCCATGTCTGGGAGCAGGAATCTCACTTGCAAGGGAATAATATTTATAGCCAAGAACTCTTTCGTCAGCGCTTTAGGCAGTTCTGTTACAAGGAAACACCTGGTCCCCGTGAAGCTTTGGGCCGTCTCTGGGTGCTCTGCTGTGAGTGGCTAAAACCAGAAATGCACACAAAAGAACAGATCTTAGATCTGCTGGTACTTGAGCAGTTCTTAACCATCTTACCTGACGATCTCCAAACTTGGGTTCGGAAACATGAGCCAAAGAGTGGGGAGGAGGCTGTGATTGTATTGGAAGATTTGGAGAAAGAGCTTGACGAACCAAGACAACAGGTAAGAAATAGACGGTATATGTTCCGTGTTGGATTGAGGAACTTTACATATGGTCACTTTGGGGAGATTTTGGCTGCAGGTATAATAGTGATTTCCTCATATGCCTAATTGTACTTCATTGCCTTTAGGTTCCAGCCAGTTCCTATGGACGAGCATTGTTGGAGGAGTTGGTGCCTATGGGTTCAGCAAAGGTGTCACCTAATATACAGTTACAGCCCATGGAAACTCAGGTCAAATGTGAATCTCAGGATCCCCAACCCTTACAGAAGAGTGGTGAGTGTTAAAATTCAATGTACTGGTATCTTCTGGAGACACTATAGACTCATCAGTAATATTTATTGAATGCTTACTGTATACAAGTCATTGTGCTTTGGTTATGGGGAACACAGTCCCATCTTTAAGACAATTTTCAATCTAGTTGGTAGGTAAAATAATAATAATAAAAAGCAGCAAATAAGTGCTTATGAATGGTATAAACTAGTGGTCCCAAACTAAAATTGTATGTTTATTTTAGTTTATAACATTCATGTGTTTGTGCTTCTATCTTTATCTTTACCCTTTAAAAAGTCTTATTAATCCAGTTACATATACCTGAATTAAGAGACAAAGGACTGGATATTGTGCAGAGGATTTTGATATCCCTTGTAGAAATAATGTGTTAGCAGATTTCAGAGGTAAAAGAAATCACTTTGGGATGGAGTGGTCAGAGAAACTTTCACAGAAGAGATAAAACTTAAACTGGATCTTAAAGGATGGATGGGAGCAGTGGGGAAAACATACAGGGTCTGAATGAAGGATATGAGCAAAGTTACATAGGAAAGTCAGATTTTGAGGTAGCTAGATTATGGGTCCCTCAAATGCTTAGAAGTTTATATACCTCATCTTTCTGTCACTGGGGAACTATCTAAGGTTATTAGTAGTGGAGGATAGTACAAAGCAAAACTAAAATAGTATCAGTGTGTAGGGTTATTTTGGATAATAGAGCCTGGTGGCAAGGAGATCAGTTAAGAGACTGTTGAAGTTGTCAGGCATGAAGTGATGCTCCTCTGAACTAGTATGGCCTCCTTAAAGACTATATAAAGGATTAATGAAGCTTGTTTTAGATATTAGAGGTAGATTTTATGCTTTGGGTAGAGATTAGACTAGAATAAGCCACTATAGTCTTCTCCAATTTTGCAGTTTTACAATTCTGTATTGGAATGAAGGGATCTGAGAGATGATATAAAGGAGAATTGACTGTAATTATATTGAGACAGTGTGGCATAGTGGGAATATTCTTGAACTTGAACTCAGACCCGAGTTTGAGTCCTGCCTCAGACACTTACTAGCTTTGTGATCACAAGCAAGACAAATTGACCGAGCCTGTTTCTTTATCTATAAAATGCACCTAATTCACAGGGTTGTGAAGAAAGTACTTTGCAAACCTTTAAATGCTGTATTATTAATAACTCATATCTGTGTAGCATTTTTAAAGTATATAAAGCATTTTCATTATCATAACAGAGAATTAACATGATGCAATAGATGCCAGGGGAAGGGAACAACTATTTATTAAGTGTGCTGTTTTACAAGTATTTGACCTTATTTGATCTTTATAACAAACCCATGAGGTAGTACTATTACTATCCCCATTTTCTAGTTGAGAAAACTGAGGCAGACAGAAGTTAAATGACTTGCCCAGGGTCACACAGCTAATAAGTGTCTTGAAGCCAGTTTTGAACTTCCTGACTCCAGGCTTGATACACTGAGCCACCTGGAAGTCCTGACTTCAAATCCTACTTCAGATACCTACCCACTGTGAGACCCTGGGAAAGTCACTTAATTGCTGGACTTGATAGCCTCTAATGTTTTTTTCAGCTCCAAATCCATGATCCTATAAATCCTGTGAGGTAGGTAGCGTGAGAGTTGTCATCCTCATCTTACAGGCGATGAAACTGAGGTGCCAGGTAGGTTAAGTGATTTGTCAAGGTGACACAAATTATGAGTTGTCATAACCAGTATTTGAACCCAACTCTAATCACTCTGAGTCCGGTGCTCTTTTCACTACATCACTTAAAGATAATGGGAATTAGTGGCAGCAGAGGATCACCACCAACTGGCTTGATGTCGGAGTTTAGAGGAATGGTGATGGACCTAGTTTCTCTTTGTTTCTACTCTGCCATGCCAAACAGAATACAATGAATTTATTTATTTATTGTATTTTATTTTATTTTTTTGTGAGGAAGTTGGGGTTAAGTGACTTGCCCAGGGTCACACAGCTAGTAAGTATCAAGTGTCTGGTCTGAGGCTGGATTTGAACTCATCTCCAGGCCCAGTGCTCTATCCACTGTGCCATCCGACTGCCCCTAAATTTAGGAATTGGACCCATTTTTTTTTCTTTTTTTCTTTGGTAAGGCAATTGGGCAGAATATAATAAATTTAACCATTCCTTGATGATTCAAAGTTGTCATTATTAGCATTTGTTATTATACTGTGCTATAATTCAATAATGCCTTTTGGGCCACAGAAGTGTATAAGGCTGTTTGCTTCTGTGTTACATGGTTTCTTCTTCCCTCACCTCAGCTAAACTCCTTGCCTCATATTTCACTGAAAAAAAAAATGAGACCATTCACTGAGAGGTCCCTTTACTCCCTTCCTCCTCATCTCACATCACTCAAATACCTCCCCCACTGTCTCTTCCACCTTGTCTCACAAGAATAGGTAGCCCTTCTCCTTTCCAAAGCAAAACCCTCTAAATATAAAGTGATCCCACTTCATCCCGTCTTCTCCAGCAGATTGTCCCCACTATCATCCCCAAACTCTCAAGACTTTTCTTCATTCTCTCCTTGTCTAATGGCTGCTTCCCTATAACCTGCTATCATGCCCATGTTAAGCCATCCTCAGAAACTCATTTGATCCAAAAAAATCCTCATTTGATCCATTCCTCCCCATTAACTTTCCCATATCTTGCCTTCTTTTCAGGGCTAAGCTCTTTTAAGAAGGCTATTTACAGTTAATGCCTGCACTCCCTTCCTTTTGTTCTCTTCTTTGTGACTTTTCACCTTATCATTCAACCGAAACTGCTTTCTTTTTATTGCTGAATCTAATGGCTTTTACCTGAACCTTGTCCTTCTTCACCACTTTATAGCCTTTAGCATTATTGATGACCCTCTTCTCCTTGATACTCTCTTCAAAGTTTTCTTGACACTGCCCTGTCCTAGTTCTTCTATTTGACCATTTTTTCTCAAGTCTCCTTTTCTGGATCTTCATCCAGTTTTGCCTGATGAATGTATGTCCCCTAGGGCTCTGTCCTGGCTTTTTTTTTTTCCTTCTTCTATACTATTTTGCTTGATGATCTTATGGATTTTGCAGATGATTCTCAGATATACTTGTCTCTTTCCTAATCACTAGTCTCCTGTTTCCAACTGTTTATTGGACATCTCAAACTCTATGTCCCATCAACATCTTACACTCAGCATGTCCAAAAATGAACTCATTATCTTTCACATACACACCCCCCAAACTATCCCTGTTACTGTTGAGTGTGCTGCCATCCTTCCAGGCAGCCAGACTGGGTACAACCTACATCCTTAACTCTTCACTCTCACCTCCCCATGTCCGATCTATCACCAAGTCCTTTCATTTTTACTTTTGTAACATCTCTAGCATGTGTCTCCCTCTCTGCTCTTGTCACTACCTCCATCCTGGTGCAGGTCCTCATCAACTTCACATCTAAACTATTGCCATAGCCTGCTGGTTGGTCTCCCTGTCTGAAGTCTCTCCCCACTCCAATCCATCCTCCACTCAGGTATAAAATTGATCCCCTTTGAGAGTGTGTCTGATCATGTCATCTCTCCATTCGTTAAACTCTAGTGGCTCCCTATCACCCCTAGGATAAATATAAAATCCTTTGTTTGGCATTCAAAGCCCTTGACAGCCTGGCCCATTCTTACTGTTTCAATCTTCTTATGCCTTATTCCCCAACATATACCCTTTGATCCAGTCACACTAGCCTTCAATGCTGTTCTTCACACATGACACTATTATCTTCCAACCCTGGGTATTTTTACTGGCTGTTCCTCAGGCCTAGAACTCTGTCTTCTATGGTCAACCACAGAGTCAAGACTCTATGGTTTAGAGTCAAGGGAGGAAAGTCTAGCTGCCCCTAGCAATTGTAATCTAATAGAGGAATTTCAGAGTTCAAGATTATAGAAGTTACATAGTTATAGGTGATAATGAAATCTAAAGTATGACCATTCCTGATGAGGTTGGTGGGGAACATCAAAGTGTGTATTGAAATTCCCAACTTTGGGGGGCAGCTAGGTGGCACAGTGGATAGAGCACCGGCCCTGAATTCAGGAGGATCTAAGTTCAGATCAGGCCTCAGGCACGTAACACTCACTAGCTGTGTGATTCTGGGCAAGTCACAAAATTCCCAACTTTGAAAGGCATAGTTTACAATGGAAAAGACTGTGAACCACATATTGAAGTTAACTCCAGGAGGTCCACAGTATAGTGGATAGAGTTTTGGACTTGGAGTCAGGAGGACCTGGGTTCAGTTCAACTGTTGATACTAGCTGTGTGACCATGGGCAAGTTACTTAACCTCTCTAGGCCTTAATTTCTTCATCTCTAAAATGAGAAGTTTGACCTTTTGGCAAAGAGTTAATGGGCTGTAGATGTGGAATGAGGCATGCATTTTTAGACACCACGTCTGTGAGTTTGTTTTTCTAGACTGTTCAGAAAAAGAACCAAGAGAGGAATAAAGGTTTTTTGTGCCCCTCCACAAAATGAAGGCCCTTGGAGGAAATTACCAGTGGGAAGGGGGCCCTATAAGGCTGCTGTATGTTCCAAGGTAAGGAGGTCTTCAGGCGTTGAGGGAAATTTCAGTGTGACATGGCATCTGAAATCTAGAAAGGCAGAAGCAAAGGCAGGAGGGGAATACAGAGAAGTGGGACAGTGTTTACATTATGTTAGATTTAACACACAATTTTTTAAAGGTTGTATGTAAGAAATTTGTGGTTTCAAGATAGAGGAATTTCATGCATTCTTGAAGAGCTAAGTAGAAAATTTGACTTTTAAATACAAGACTCCAGAGAATCTTGAAAAGGTAGACAGGAAAAGTTAAACTGTTTATATTCCTACATGGAAAAATGATATTTGTAACTCATAAGACCTTTCTCATTATTAGGGTAGTTAGAAGGAGTATATATAGACAGAGGGCACAGATATGAGTTGAGTATGAAGGGATACTATCTAAAAAACAAAATTAAGGGGTGAGAGAGGAATGTACTGGGAGAAAAAGAAAGGGAGAGGTAGAATAGGATAAATTATCTCACATAAAAGAGGCAAGAAAAAGCTTTTACAATGGAGGAGAAGAGGGGAGAGGTGAGAATGAATGAGTGAAACTTACTCTCATCAGAGTTGGTTCAAAAAGGGAATAACATACACACTTAATTGGGTATAGAAATCTATCTTACCTTATAAGAAAGTACTGGGGAAGGGGATAAGAGAAAGGGGGTTGATAGAAGGGAGGGCAGATTAAATCAGCTGATAGTCAGAAGCAAAACACTTTTGAAGGAGGGACAGGGTGAAAGGAGAGAATAGAATAAGTGGGGGGGATAGGATGGAAGGGAAATGTATTAAGTCTTTCAAAACATGACTATTATGAAAGTGTTTTGCATGACTACACATGTATAACCCTATATCAAATTGCTTACCTGCTCATTGCAGGGGGAGAGAGGAGGAAGGGAAAGAATTTGGAACTCAAAGTTTTTAAAATGAATGTTAAAATTGTAAAAGGTAAACTAGGGAAAAACAAAATACTAAATAAAAATTATTTTTATTTATTTTATTTTATTTATTTATTATTAAAAATACTAAATAAAAATTAAAAAAAGAAATTTGTGGTTTCATATAGAGTTCTCTTTTAAAATTCGTTTTTTGTATATTGAAATGTTCATGTTTGTTGATATAATTTTTAAAATAAATTTTTATTGATATTTCCCACTGTATTGCTTCCTAAGCCCCTCGCCCCTAAGCCACAGCTACCTGCGATTCAGTCCTCTGAGGCCTGTTCCAGGAGATCCATTCCTTATAATCAAATTTAAGAAAGGAAGAAAGAAAAAAAGTTCCTCAAAACTAAATACTGTATCAAATAATTTGACGTATACGTATGCACTAACCCACATCCGTGATCCTCTACTCTGTAAAGGAACCCGGGGAATTGTTATTTCATATCTTTTCTTTGAGTCCAGGCTTGGTCTTTATAATTTCACAGCATTCAATTTTGATAGTTTCCTTTCTGTTGTTCTTTCCAGTTACATTGTTGTAATCATTGTGAATACTGTTTTCTGGCTCTGCTTTCTTCACATGCATTAATTCATGATTTTTTCCATGCTACTCAGGATTTGTGTTTGTTAGTTCTTACAGAACTGTTTTATTTATGTACCCCAATTTTTTTAACCATTCCTCAATCAGTGAGTATCTACTTTGCTTCTAGTTCTTTGATAGCACAAAAAGTGCTATTACAAATAATTTGGTGTATATGGGGAATTTCTTTTTATCACAAATCTCCTTGCAGGGCAATCTCTGGGTTAAGGGATAAATCACCTTTTTAGTCACTTTTTTTTTTGCATAATTCCAAATTGCTTTCCAGAATTGCTGTACCAGTTCATAGCTCTACCAACAGTGGATTAGTGTACTTTTCTTTCCACAATCCTTCTAACACTATATATGTTGAATAGATTGAAAATACAGTGTTAAAAAATTTCTTCCCATTCAGCTGCTTCCTTTCTTATATCCTAGTTTTGTAGCTATATTAATTTTGTTCAGGTGAAATCTTTTCAATTTCATGTAATCAAAATTGTCTGTTTTGCCTTTTATAATTGCCTCTATCTCTTTTTTTGGTTAGGAGTTATTTTTTACCTACAGTTGTCAAAGATGTATGATTTGCTTCTCTCTTAATTTTTTATTGTCTGATCTTTTTATATATTTTGAATTTATTGTGGAATATAGTATAAAATGTTGGTCTAAATCTAATTTCTACTAGACTGCTTTCCAGTTTTCCTAGTAGTTCTTATTAAATAGAGAATTCTTTCCTAGGTACTTAATGCTTTTGGGTTTATTGAACACTGTTTATGTTTGTTGATATTTAAGTTCATAATAAAAATAACATAAAAGTGAAGCCCAAGTGATATAAATAGTTGGTTGGAGTAAAGGGAGGACAAGGTTACTGATCAATGGTCGTAAAGTAATTATCTAGAAATGTCAGTGCTGAACCATGAACATGTTTATTCATTGCTCTTGTCTCAGTTTGTCAGAAGGAATTCAAGAAGGAACTAGGACTGTTCAGTCTTCTCCCTCTGTGCCTATTGCTCTTTCCACCATAGTATACTTTGATGTCAGGTCGGAAAATGGAAAAAAAAAATTCATTGTGGTCAAGAATATATTAGGTCTTGATAAAGTACCATTTAAAAAAAAACTTTAAAGTGCCAATAATTTATGGCAGTGCCAATAAATTATGGAGCACTAGACCTCTTGTCTAGAGGACCTAAGTTCAAATCTGGCCTCAAGCACTTACTAGCTATGTGACTGCATACAAGTCACGTAACTTCTGTCTGACTCAGGAGTCTCATCTATAAAATGTCAATAACAATAGAATCAGTATCCCTGGGTTATTGTGAGGATACAATGATATAATATTTCTAAAGTGCTTTGCAAACCTTAAAGATGTGGGTATGATAGAAGCCATATATAAAGTCAAAGTCATTAAATTTTTCAGGGCAGCTATACGGTGTGCAGTATGTAGTGGTATTATTTAGAACTGTGTTATGATAGATAATAATTATGTAGAAGTTCTCTGATTTTCAAACTTTTTCAAAACTAAACTGTATTAGTGAAACTAGGCAAGAACTTCATTTTATCTAACAAATTATACTTTTAAAATGTTCTTATAAGAAAAGACATGTGGCAACAGGTTAGATCAGGGGTGGGGAACCTGCAGCCTGGAGGTCACATATGACCCTCTAGGACCTCAAGTGCAGCCCTTTGACTGAATCCAAACTTCACAGAACAAATCCCCTTAATAAAATGATTTGTTCTGTAAAACTTGGACTCAGTCAGAAGGCTGCACCCAAGAACCTAGAAAGTCACATGTGGCCTTGAAGCCACAGGTTTCCCCACCCCTGGGATAGATGAACAAAAGAACTAGTAGGTCTACTTCTAATTCACTTCTCTGGATAAACAGCATTAGGGACTGTTTTATATTGAGTGTAGTGGTGTAGAACTTATTCTTAGAGAAGATAGTAGAAAAAGATTTAATTCTATTGTTTTTGTGGATTCCTTTCAAAATGCTTTCTTTTGCCACTGCTATACTCTCCTTACTAATTTTAGGTCACTTGGATCATGGTTTGTAATTTACAGAATCAGTTCTTTTTTAAGTTCTTATATATTTAGGAATTGGATTTTTATATGGTGTAGCTTTCTGGCAACAATATGCTTTCTGATCTTGGGCTTCAGCTGCTAATCATGACAATTTCTTTTCTTGTTTATGTTAACCATGTTTTACATATTGCAGGATCTTGTATTATCATTGAATGTAGTTGTCCCAAAATTAATTTGTTTTCTAGCATACCTTTGTCTCAGTTATTGAAGTTGAAAAATACAAAAGGAATCTATGAAGATCTTACATAATCACTACTGCAATAAGTTTTCAGGAAATATGAAGAAAATGAATTCTGAAGATAATCTTAGATTCCATAACAATAAGAAACCACATAAATAGGATTGGTCTCACTCACTCCTTTCTTCTCTCTTAGCTCTGCTTCTTCCTCATATTCCTATACTTCCACAAAAGGGGGTTCCTAGTGACCAAAAGATGGCAGCTTCACTTCTCACATGCAATACAACTGGATTCCAGGTGAGCTCTGACCTTTGCCCTCTTGCCTGTTGCCTGACAGTGGCTTTCTCTTTCTTTTGGGCTGGGTTTGCCTACCCATTTCTCCTGCCTTGGTCCAAGTCCTATTTAACTTGTTCCAAGTATTCCAATAACCTATTTATCTTCATTCTTTGCTCTTAGCTCCCCTTACCTTCTCAGAGCCCTTATGAGACAGATTGTCTCCCTGTGTTTCCTATTACCAGTTTTATTCCTCAATTTAGGTCCCACTGGTGTTATTATTCCAATGGTAACCTTACCTGAAAATGGAGATCTCATGTTTTGTTTTATTTTTCCCCAGAAACTAATGACATTTGAGGATATGGCCATGTCACTTGCATTAGAGAAATGGGGACAACTCGACCCTGTTCAGAAGAGCCTCTGTAGGGACAAAGGGCAGGACAATTATGGGAACATGGTTTCCCTGGGTAAGGACTAATGAGGTTAGTCTTTATGGGATTTTATGGGTTTATGGTTTATTTGCTTCTTGTATGTTAGTAATTAATGAGGTTTCTGAAGGTCCATTGAGTTTAGTCTTAGAATACAGGGACTCTAAGTTCTGCCTCCTTAGGTCCAGATAGAAGAGTGAAATCATCAATGCCCCAGAGGGAAAAGATACTTATTTCTTCTTCCTGACCCGAAGTGACAGCTGCCTTTTTATATTGGGCTCTGGTCTTTCCTCAGAAGGGGTAAGTCAGTCAGTCAGTAAGCATTTATTAAGCTTCTACTATGTGCTAGGCATTGTCCCTGAGAGGTATGATATGTAAAGATGTAAGTGAGGTATAATATGTAAACATAGTATAGTAGAAAAAGCTATTGACATGTAGTTGGGAGACATAGGTTTCAGTACTGTCCCCATTTACTAGCCCTCTTATTTGCTTCAATGAGATAAATGAAGATAAAATCAGATAACATATGTGAAAGCATTTGGTAGAATGCTACACAATATAAGATTTTACTATTTGAAAATGGAATCTTGTGTCTTAACTTCAAAAATATCTTATGTAGATCCTCTTCATTACTTCTGCTTTGCCTTTTTGCTCTTTTATCTTTATGTTCTATTCTGAATTGGTGAACCCATCCTTAAGTTGGTTTTCTTTTTTCTTTTCCCATTCATCATTGTGCATGTTCTTGGTCACACTTATCCTACCTGATTAGCTCTCTCCATCCATTCTCTGAGCTTTGCCCTTCCTTTCTGATCATTTTTTATCTTCTCATCTGCATAACCCCTGCTGCCCCTATTCTTTCTCTCTCCATGTTTGTAACATCATTTTGTAGGTATATACAAGTTATATACTCCTGGTGTGCATTTGTTTAATTTGTATCATCTTGTTATTCCTATAGACAGCTTCTTTTTTCCCAGTGATGTTTGCATAGTATATTTATTGTTTCAGATGGTGTGACCACAATGGAGAGTGGAGAGTCAGCTCAAAACCAGGATATTAAAACAGATATGGAATCTAAAGGGGAGTTACCTAATAGGCTCAATGGGCATATTCCTCAGGGTCTTGAGCTTGGAGAAGTCTGTGAACATGAGGGCAAATTAGAAGGGCATCAAGGAAATGCTGAAATTGAGAAACGACATAAATGTGATGAATGTGGGAAAAGCTTCACTCAGAACTCAAGCCTTATTAGACATAAGCGAATTCATACTGGAGAAAGACCCTATTCATGTAACGAATGTGGAAAAACCTTCATTCAGAGCTCACAACTTATTGACCATCAGAGAATACATAGCAAACTAAAACCCTATCAATGTAATGATTGTGGGAAAGCTTTCTATTACAGTTCACACCTTATTCAGCATCAGAGGACCCACACTGGAGAGAAACCTTTCCAATGCAATGATTGTGGGAAAGCCTTCCATTATAGTTCAGGCCTTATTAGACATCAAAGAACGCATACTGGAGAGAAACCTTACCAGTGTAATGATTGTGGGAAAGCTTTCTGTCTCAGCTCACATCTTATTCAACATCAAAGGATTCACACTGGAGAGAAACCTTACCAGTGTATTGAGTGTGGGAAAAGTTTCAGTCAGAGCTCTGGCCTCTTTCATCATCAGAGAATCCACAGTGGAGAAAAACCTTATGAATGTCATGAATGTGGGAAATCCTTTAGTCATAGTTCTGCACTTGTTGGACATCAGAGAATACATAGTGGGGAGAGACCCTATGAATGTGATATTTGTGGGAAAGCCTTCAGTTACAGCTCACACCTTATAGGACATAGGAGAATCCACACTGGGGAAAAACCTTATGAATGTGATGAGTGTGGGAAAGCCTTTAGGCGGAGTTCACACCTCATTGTACATCAGAGAATCCACACTGAGGAGAAGCCACATTATCCATTGACATAAAAATTTTAATAATTTATTCCACATGAAACTGCAGAGAAGTCCTACTGACAAAGCTACAGTTACTCTTAGTACCTCATCAAGCATCAGAAAATCATGTTGGTGACTGGGTAGACAAATGCCTTAGAGTAGGCTAACAAAAATTATCTTAATACCTCAGTATTAGGAAAGTCAACTGAGAAACTGGGGTTTCAGAATGACTTATTCAAATCTATCAAACTCAAAATCTCTTTGGAAAGATCTGTTTCTCTGTAGCCCAGAGCACCTAAGAACATATACTAAGTAAATGAATGGTTATGGCTTAGAGGTGGTAGGGATACTTCTACTGCTTTCTTTTTCCTTGCCTTTTTTTCTTATAGAGTTGACATTTTACCCCTAATAATTTGATCTAAGATGTGAATTTAGAAATAATATCTATCTTCTATGAAAGGTATGTATCTTTGTTCAGTTCTCTAAAGTATGACTGCTTCTCAGTTAATTGCACTAATGACTAACAAAGCAGTGTGTGTGTGATTCAAAAACAATTTATCCGACTTTGGACTTAATCATATGATTTATTTTTTCTTCATTAGGTTGATAACAGGTTGACAATAACATATGAGTTTGTGTTTTCTCAACTAATACCAATTGAAGGCTACTATACTAGTGGCATCCACCATTAAAAGTTCTGCAGATAATTATTATTCATAAAATAGATAGCCCACTGAAGAATAATGAAGATTATACTGTAATAAGTTTTAGCAGACATACCCAGACTACTATACTGAGAGGGCTGAAGTCTCGGGCTAAATTTGGGCATGAGCCACTTATAAAGAGGAAAGTGGCAATAATGGGTTAGGATGTGGGGTGTCAGAGTAGGAAGAGGTACCAGATTTGAGACTTAGATTTGTGTTTGGAAGAGGAAAGCAGCTGTGGGAAGGATGGAGGAGATCACTCGAAGAGAGGCAGAAATGAGAGTATAGAGAAGATAAGGAAAAAAGAGGAAAGCAAGTCAGAAATGAGAAAGAAGAGGAGAGTGAGGAAGGAAGAGAAAAGATGAGGGAATGTAGAAGGAAAGAGTAAAATGGTGAAGTAGGGAATGGAAAGAATTAAAAAGGAAAGGTTGAAGAAGTGAGAAGAATCCCACTCACATTGATTCCAGGATAACCAGTCAAATAGCTCTTTAAATTATTGTATATTTTGTTTTTACGTCACCTACATTTCTCAAGATATCTCTCCCCCCTTCCCTACACAAGTAAGCCATCTTTATAAATTAAAAAAATTTAAAAGAAAAAAAAAGATAGCTCAGCAAAACCAAGCAACATAGTTAAGTCTAACTGCACATGAAACATTCCCTCACCATAGTTCCCCATCCCTAGAAAGAAGGTGATTTCTCTCAACTTTTCTGCAGGACTAAGTTTGGTTATTCCAATTAGGCAGCATTTACTTGAGGTTTTTCTTTCCATTCATATTATTGCAGTTGTTTTCCTTGTTCTACTTCACTCTGTATCCATTCTTAGACGTTTTCCCATACTTCTATGAACTCTTCATATTCACAGTTTCTTATGGTACAGTAACATTCCATTACATTCATTTGCTAACTGGTTTGTTTAGTCATTCCCCAGCTGATGATGCACATCTGTTTTGTTTATAGTTTTTTGTACCACAAAAAGTGCTACTGTGAGTATTTGGCTTGAGTCAAATATCTCCCAGCACAGTCTCCGGGTCAAATTTAGCATAATTTCAAATTGTTTCCCAGAAGTTAGGCCAATCCATGGTCCACCAATAGTGTTTTAGTATACCAAAAATTCACCCTGTTCTCTCCTAATTGAAGACTTCCCTTATCCTGTCGATACTGATTTTTTTCATGCAAAAGTTTTCAATCCCTTGGTCGGTGGAAAAAATTCTCCTAGCTGTAGATGTTTCATATTACCCAAAAAGGCAATATAGTTCAATTCTGCTTAATGATTATTTATCAAGCACCTATTTCATATTACTTCATAGACATTGTCTTCCAGCCAGATTTGCCGGCTGAACTTTCCCAGCCTGGCAAATTTCTGTCTGGATGCCTTTGCTCACCCACACTTGAGCAATAGTTTGGGAGAAGACCTGGTTTCATATTCTGGCTCTGCCACTTATTACCTCTGGGACCTTGGGCAAATAATGTAATCTTTCTGGGCCTCAGTTTCCTCATTTGTAAAATTAAGGAGTGGACTAGATTTCTGAGGTGCATCTGATCCTATGTTCTCCGCCTCCTTGAATCCTTAATTCTAAGACTCGTTTAGATGTCAGTTCTTAGGGGAAGCCTTTACTGATTCCCTACTCAAATTATATTTACTTTATTCAACAATCACCCATTATAGAAAGATAAGCCATTTGCTCCACCCCCCTAATATTAATTTATCTATGTGTATTTTGTATTTCATGGTAAAACTAAAACCATTGAGGCAGGAATTGTTTCATTTTTTTACTTTGTAACCACAGTACCTCTTACATAGTAGTTGCTTTATAAATAATTGCTGAATTAAATTTGCAGAATGTTCTAATATATAGGCTTTCAAGCCCTTACAGCGACTGCTTGGGCTATGACTCACACCGTTAGTGATACAAGGAAAGAAAATGTATAGCGAAAGAGAGAATTCAGGAGTGGGAGCGAAAGCTCCTCCACATCAGACATGTCTTTAATTAGAGAAAAAAAGCCCTAGTCATACTGGAAGAATTGGACCCAGCTTGCAATCAGGGCAGCGGGCGGGGTGAGAAAAGCGAGGTGTTTCTTTGAGAGATCCGGAAATGACGGGATTTCACCAGGTTTAGCTTGGATTGGTGGACCGCTTTGCAATCGTTGTTTTGTCAGTATCTAAGGTGGCCTGTGGCCTTCTTTACTTTCTTGTCGTCTACTTTTTGGACCGAATCTTCAAATACCTATTTCTACATGCTTGCGGTGAGTGGGATATGTGTAGCGACTTGGGGCAGGTGTGTGGAGTAGCTTCTTTTCCATCTCTTCTCAGCGCCGCCTGCCCAAAAGGCTGTGAATCCAGAGAGAGCGGGGGTGGGGTGGGGGGGTGTCTATTTCTGTGGCTTCCGCAGAGGCTCTGGCCCCGCCTCCCTTCTTTTTGCGGTGCCTACTGCGGACAAGGCCTACCCCTGGTCCTTAGGTTAGCGCGCCTCCCGACATTGTGGAGCAGAGCCTCTGAAGACTCCTGGGCGCAGAAGACCCGGGGCGTTGTCAGGCACCTGCCTCTGCGAGGGGATTGCGCCCTTTACCAGTAGCGTAGAAGGGATTTTAGTTCTTCAGAGATCCAGGTCTTGTCTTCCCCCACCCCCTCCCCCTTTTGTTTTATTTCTGTCGAGCTCGGCGTTGCTGTTCTATTTAAGGGCGTCTCTTAATGTCTTTATCCCTACTGACTGGGCTTTCTCTTTCCCTGTCCGCATAATTTCTCTTTTAGGCCTTCCCCCGGGATGTCGAGAAGAAAGACAAGAGTAGTTCTTTGCAGAGTGGGCGTAAAGCCCACATGCCAGCATAAGAGGAAGTGAGATTAAGCCATAGAAAAGTAGTGTTATGTAGTGGATTGTCAGCCGTGAAATTTAGAAGACCTGGGTTCAAGGGCTTCCCATGGTATCAGCTGTGTTACCCCGTGGAAAGCACTTAACCTATCAGTATATCTGGCAACTCCTAAGGCCACAAATTGCAGAATAATTATCGGCCTGCCTTGATAAAAGGAAAGTTTTCTTAATGAAGTTCTTTAATCAGATTACAAGTCTACCCCCCTCCCTTCTCAGGAATCCAGTAATCAAGGAACTGTTTACATTATTAGAGTGAAATTTTTGGATTTGTAAGATTTTATTATATTCTAATCATTTTCCCAATTATTTTTTGTCGTTGTTTAGTCTCTTGGTAACTTCATTTGGAATTTTCTTGGCAAAGATACTAAAGTGGTTTGCCATTTCCTTCTCCAGCTCATTTTACAGATGAGGAAACTGGGGCAAACAGGGTTAAGTGACCTGTTCAGGTTCACAAAGCTAGAGGCTGAATTTGAATTTAGGTCTTCCTGACTCCATGGCCAGCTCTGCCACCTAGCTGCTCATTTTCCTAACAGTACTGTAAAAACATACAGAATTTAAGGAGACATAGGTACTGGCTCTACCACAGACTTACTGTGAAGCATTGGACAAGTCACTTCGCCTTGCTGGGCAGTTTTCTTATCTGTAAAATAAGGGGATGGGCTAGATGATCACTAAGATGCCTTCCCTTGCTAACTTGCTGTAACCCTGACTGATAAGTTCCCCACTATTTCAGTAGCCTACCTGTTTAGTTATTCAGTGATCTGTTCCAATTGAAATTACTTTCAGTTAGTGAACTTCTACTTTTTTTTTTAATAGCATGTCTCTAAATTTTGCTAACTTTTGTCATTTTCTGTGTTAAACTGTTTCTTATATCTCAGGAATATCCTCAAAGAAGAACAGAAAAGGATCACCCTAAATTATAGACATTAGCACCAGCTATAGTGACGTATCATTTGCTGTACAGATTTAGAATGGCTGCTCCCCTTAACCCTGAGGTTCTGGAAGAGCAAGAGGATCTTTTTTTAGTGAAAGAGGAAGCACATTATTGGGGGCAAGAATCAAGCTTGCAACATAATCACAGCACAAGCGAGGTTTTCCGGCAGCACTTCAGGCAGCTCTGCTATCAGGAAACTCCTGGGCCTCGTGAAGCTCTAACTCGACTTCGTGAACTTTGCCATCAGTGGCTGAGACCAGAGATGCATACTAAAGAACAGATTTTGGAGCTCTTGGTATTGGAACAGTTCTTAACTATTCTACCCAAGGATCTGCAGACCTGGGTGCAGGATCATCATCCAGAGAATGGAGAGGAAGCAGTAACTGTCCTGGAGGATTTGGAAAGAGAAATTGATGAACCAGAATACCAAGTGGGAAAGGGGAAGGTATGATTTGTTTTTGGGGAGAGCAGAGTCCAGACTAAAGGAAATATGAATTGTGTTTAAAAGAACTGGGATATTAACCTAGAAAAGAAAACACAGGGGAAAGATGATCTCTCCAAATATTTAAAGGACTGTCATATGGAAGAGGGTTTAGACTAGTTCTTCATGTTTCCAAATGGGCTGAACTAGGACCAGCAGGCAAAAGTCTAAAAAAGCAAATCTAATAAAGATAAGATTAAAAAAGGAAATAATTAACTGGGAGAAAAATCTTGCAGCAAATTTCTCTAATAAAAGTCTCACTTCCAAGTTATATAAGTAACTGATTCAAATTTATAAGAAAAAGAGCCATTTTCTGATTGATAAATGATCTATGAACAGATAGTTCTCAGGAGAAGAAACTCAGACTATAGCCATATGAAAAAATGCTCCAAGTTATGACCAATTAGAAAAATGCAAATTAAAGGAATTCTGAGATTCCACCTCATACCTTCAGAGTGGCAAAGGTGACAAAAAAGAAAAATGATAAATATTGGAGGAGTTATAGGAAAAAAGGTATATTGATACAGTGTTAGTAGACTTTCGAATGGTTGTAATAACCATTTTGAAAGCAATTTGGAATTGCACACAAAAAATTACAAAACAATGCCTTGCCCTTTGACCAAGCTATACCACTGCTAGGCTTATACTCAAAATAGATTAAATAAAGAGGAAAAGGTCTGTTACAAGTATATTTAGAGAAACTCTTTTTGTGGTGACCAAACCTCACCCCCCACCCCCAACAACAACAAAAAACCTCTGAAAACTAAGAGGATATCCAGCAATGAGGAATAGCTGAATAAGTTGTGTCATATGGATGTGAAGTACTATAATGCTATAATAGATGCTTCAAAAAGGCATGGAAAGACTTACATGAACTGATGCATAGTAAAGCAAGCAGGACCAGAAGAATAATTTATGCTATAACATCAGTATTATTATTAAATGAACAGTTTTGAGGACTTGTATAAACTGAAGAAGAAATGAACAGAACCAAGAGAACAATTTATATACCACCACCACTATAGAAACAACTTTGAAAGCTGTAAGGATGGTGACCATTCATGATTCCAGAGGACCTATGAATAATATATTGTTCATTATGGCTAATATGACAGATTTAGGGTACAGAATGAAATAGATATAAATATATCTATATAGACATATAGATATAAATATATCTATATAGACATATAGGTATAAATATATATAGACATATAGATATACATGGAGGAATTTTTGTTACTTAATTATGCATATTATAAGAAATTTGTTTTTCTCTTTTTCTTCAATGGAATGGGAAGTAGGAGGGAGAGAAAATAGATTTCTATTAATTTAGAAAAAAATAAAGTTGTGGGGATGCTACAGATGTAAAAGGTAGCCTTTACTTTCAGATGAGTTCTCTATAGTTTTACTTAATTGATTTACTTTGTGACAAAAGATCTCTTATGAAGTGATCTGTAAATGTTTTAAAAAATTTTTAAAAACACATTAATAAAGCTTTTTTAAAAGTTATAAAAAAGGAAGATTTCGGCTTAGGAAGAACTTCCTACCTTTTTCATTCGTTTCGAGATGAAATGGAATAACTTTGTGAGAACATGTCTTCTCTGTAACTGGATGTGATCAAGCAGGGGTTGAATGATCACCTTGATAGAAATGTAATAAAGGAGAGTCAAGTGATAGAAGTTAAGACTGGAGTTCAAAAGTAAGCTTTCTTTCATGATTATTTGGTCATTATAGCAATAGGAATAACCCACTGACAACACAAATCTGTTGATGCATTAGCTAAAGCTAATTTATTTTGTCACTTCCTGTCTCTCTTCCTTAGAGCTCTTCAGTATTGAATAAGGTTCTTATTACTCTTTAGTAGTTCACATTTATATAGTATAGTTTAGAAAGTATTTTACTTAAAACAGCCCTTGTGGTAGATACTGTAAGTATTATTGTTCCAATTATACAGATCAGAAGTCATACAGATTATATATAATTATATGATTAATATTAATAATTAATTATTTATTACATATATAAATTATACAGTTATACATATCAGAAAACTGAGGCCCAGAGAGGTGACTCCTAAAAAATTATCATTTTTCCTTGGTCCCTAGGAAATGTTTCTTTTACTCTTTTTCTCTGAGTTTTAGTTCCAGCTCTAAGTGATCCCCTCATAAATCAAGTCTGTTTTATTGTTTCTAGGTCCCAACCCATGTACATGGACAGGAAATCCTCTTGGAAGAAATGGCACCAATGGGAACATCAAGAACATCAACTGAGTCACTAAGTATCCATCTCAATCCCAGGAAAACCCAACTGAAATGGAAATCTTGGGAGCTCTATCCATTACAAGAAAATGGTAATAAGCAAAATTCTGTGTGGTAGTAGGGAAGGTAGGAAAACTGGTTAATCAGAACAGGTGCAGGGGCAGCTAGGTGGTGCAGTGGATAAAGCTCCAGTCTTGGAGTCAGGAGGACCTGAGTTCAAATGTGGCCTCAGACACTTGACACTTAGTAGCTGTGTGACCTTGGGCAAGTCACTTAATTCTGATTGCCTCACCAGAAAAACAGGTGCATGTCATTTTAACAAATAGCTGAAGTTTCCCCTGCTTGCCTCTCTTTTCCTAACTACGGAAGGCTTTACCTTCTGCTACTTACTATCTGCAAGATGATAGGGAGGCAAAAATGGGAGATGTGAAAAGCATTAGTTCATCAAGAATTCATTAGAAGTCTTTGTGCTTGTTAGAAATGTTATTTTTTAATGGTTTTTTTAATGTTTATATGTGCCCCGCTTCTTCTTATCCTTTAAAAGTTGGATGTGAGTTTTCTATTTCTAGGAATCATAGAATTACATTTCAATAATCCATGATTAGCATACTTCTATCCCTTCATATTCACTTTTTCCCAGTGATTCTGAACCCTTGGTTGCCATTGTTTAGATATTGTTCTCCACCCCAGTGGACTGCTTCTTTATTCTCATACCCCTCAACCCAACCCTCCCACCAAAACTACTCAACCATTATACTGTGCTCCATAGGTAACAAACTAGATTTTACCTAAAACTTTTCCATTTTTGCTTCTTCCATCTTATACTTACTGAGACCTAGCTCCCTCCTGGTGACACAGCTTACCTAGCTACTCTTTCCAGAACTGGGTGTACTTGTACTCATACTTCCCTGTGATGGAGGAATTGAATTACTCCTTGTTCCCCATTGCCCCTTCCAGACTCTCTTTCTCTATCGCCATCACTTAATAACCTCTCTTTCTTAGAGGTTCATTCAATCTATATTTATCACCTAATCAAAATTCTGGTAGCTTGTTTTCTATAGATGTCTAGGACACTCACTCACTTCTTAATTAGTTCAATGCCTGGCTCTCAAACTCTCTTCCCCCAACTTCCTGCCCTCATACTAGGAGACTTCAACATACAAGTGATAATCCCTGAAATACCCTAATCTCCCAATTCTTCAACTTAATCATTTGTCTATGACCTACTCCTTCCTGCCACCACAACTACATAGAGAGATGGTTGTACCCTTGATCTTGTCATAAACCATAGTGCTCCATCTTCATGTTCATGTAGTTCCTTTATCTGATCGTAATCTATTGTCATTCCACTTCTTCCTCTGCCTTGCAGTTCAGACTTTGTTCACCCTTCAGCTCTTTCCTAGGCCATCATCTCTGCATTAGCTGTCTTCCCTTCTCCATCTTGATGCCTTTGTGAAGTGTCCAACTCTACATTGCCCTTTTCTCAAGTCCCTTTGCTCCCGTAAGCAAAGGAGAATACATGCAGCTAACAAAGCTCCAATAAAATCTTGAAACTATGCTTACTGAGTCCACTACAAATTTGTTTCATAATCTGAACTGAAATTTCACTGTGGGAAGACAGTCCTTTTACACCTCCCTAATCAATTCACTGTCCACCTTTTCCAAATCTTTTTTTGTTTCTCCTCAAACCTTCCTCCAACCCACTCAGCTGAGAAACTTGCTTCATGTTTTTGAAAAAATGGAGGCCATTTGCAGAGCTCCCTCGTCTTCCCTGTTCCTCCTCTCACATTATTCAAAACACAACTTAGATGCTTTTTTTCACTGTCATCTCCCTATTTCGCATGAAGAGGTGGCCCTCTACATGCACAAGTAATCCCCTAACATTTGGTCTTCAAGATTGCCCCTTCTATCACAAGAATATTCCATTACAATTATAGTTTAGTCAAGAATTCCCCACCTGATAGGCACTTTCATAGTTTCCAGTTCTTTGCTATCACAGTAAGAGACACTTTAATTATTGCATATGCAATAATTATATATATTATATATATATATATATATGCACATATTGCATATGTGTCCTTTGCCTCTTTTTAGGTTCTTTGTGGTTACAGGCCTGGAATCTAATCCCTTGAGTCAAAATATATACACTGGTAGTAACTTTTTAGGCATAGTTTCAAATTGCTTTCTAGAATGGTGGGACCAGTTCACAGTTGTACCAGTAGAGCGTTAATGTTCCTGTGTCCCCAGAGTCCCTCAAGAATTTTGTCTGATAATTGGTAGCTTGGATTTCTTCCTCTAAATCTGACTAGTCATATCCTTTGAGGATTTATCAATTTAAGAATGGCTCTTATTCTTATGAATTTTAATGAATTCCTTCTGTGTCTTGGAAAGGAGACTTTTATGAGAGAAACTTTCTAAAAAAGATTTTTTTCCCTAGTTACCTGCTTCTAATTTTAGTTACATTGTGTTTGCATCTGCAAAAACTTTAATTTTACATGATCAGAATTGTCTATTCTGTCTCCTCCATAAAGCTGGATAAACAGATCTGAGAATCTGCTACATAGAGGTGATATATTCTGTGGGTCTTCATACTGAACTCCATCAGGCCTACCTAGATCTACTGTGATGACAGCCGTCATGTATCTGGGTTGAGGGTAATCCTAAGCCCCTAAAAGACTAAGTAGCTTTCTCTTTCAGATTTATTTCAGATATATTTGATTGCATGCTCCTGCCTACTCATCATGGTCCATACTTCCACTATCGACCCTAACCTGTTCTTTCTCACCTTCCTAGGAAGTTTTACCTGTATCTTAGCCTCCCTACTCCATTTCTGGTCCCTATATGTCACGTTCTTCTTTATTCTCTATTCCCAGCCACCTTCTCTAATTCTCTGCTTTTTGCTTTTTACAATACAGACACCTTTGGTATCTGTATTTACCAGCTATCTGCACTATAACCCCCAACTTCTTTCATCTCCCAATTTTCTCATTCCAATTTCCTCATTTTCCATACTCCACTCTTACCCATGTCTTTGATGTATTCCCAACTTACTACATAAACCATCCACACTTTCTATCTATCTATTTACCCTATGTCCAATCTATCCTGACCTTTTGTCCCACATTTCCACTATTGGGTTCCCGCTTAACCCTCTTCCCCGTGTCCCCCTCCACAGTATATTGTATGATAATTTTTAAGTACATACCCATACATTCATTCAACAAATGTTTATTAAGTGCCTGATCTGTGTTAGGTTGTATGTATGGGTGTGTGTGTGTGTGTGTGTATGTATATGACTCTAAATTCTGATTTTCATTTATGACTTCTGAAATCAGTTTCATTTTATAGACATACTTGGACCTCATACAAACTGTGCATTCTTCAGATATATTTTATTTGGTTCATTGTGAGCCGTTCTTATAAATTACTTTCTGTTACTGTAAGGAAGAGGAGACATTTGTATAATCTATTTATTATTTCAGATGATGAAACCAGAACTGAAGATGTGGGGTCAATTCAGAAGGAAGAAATTTCTGAAGACATGGAATCACTTGGGGATATATATGGCAGACTCAGTGGGCACATTTCCTGGGATCCTGTATTCAGAGAAGCCTTTGAACCCGAGGACAGATTAGAATGGCAACAGGAAAACCTTGCAGGGAAAAGAAGACACAAATGTGATGAATGTGGGAAAGGTTTCAGTCATAGCTCAGACCTTAGTAAACATAAGAGAACTCATACAGGGGAGAAGCCCTATAAATGTGATGAGTGTGGAAAAGCCTTTATTCAGCGTTCACATCTCATTGGACATCAGAGAGTTCACACTGGAGTGAAACCCTATAAATGTAAAGAATGTGGGAAAGATTTCAGTGGTCGAACAGGCCTTGTTCAACATCAGAGAATCCACACTGGAGAGAAACCCTATGAATGTGATGAGTGTGGGAGACCCTTCCGTGTGAGCTCAGCTCTTATTCGACATCAGAGAATCCATACAAACAAGTTCTATTGATGAACATCATAAAAACCTTCATTAGTAGCTCAAGATAGACATATAAGGTCAAAACAAGACAGAGATTTTATGACTGTCCTATGTGAGATAAGATCAGTAACCATTGAAACCTTATCTGGAATAAGAGAATCCAACTGAGTATTTTTATTTGTTTTAATTTGTCAGACCAATTGGCAGGGGAAGGAAAGGATGAGAAATGAGGACTAGGGAAAATGATGTTTTTAAAAGGCCAACATTGTCCTTAAATCTATTTTAGAGAAAGCTGTTTACCTCATGATATTTTCTGGAATGAATAGCTATGGACAGTGATATTCCTTCATCATTCAGCCTTCTCTCCCAAATTCCTTCCATTCTTGGCTCCGGTGATAAGTCAATGTGTGACTTTAGCTAAGTCATCTTCTGTGCCTCGTTTCTCCTTCTTTAAAATATGGAAGTTAATCCCAGCACTATTCACAGGAATGTTGTGAGAATAATCTCATAATCAATGAAAAGTGCTTTGAAATTATTTTAATTCCTATAATACTAGTAGTTATCACTGGTATTATCATATTTAATTGCATAATGCTTAAAACTTTATTCTAATTATATTTTATACACAAATGGGCTTGACCTTTTCGTGGAAAAGTTTTCTTTGGATACTGAGGAAAGAAGTCAAAATTGAAAAAGACAGCTGGCAAAAGTGGTGGCCACCTGTGTTGTGTGGTAGAGTAAGGCAGCAGTGAACATCAGAAGTTTAATCTGAGAATGTGACAGGAATAAAAGAAATATGACCAGTAGGCAAAAGCAGTGGCAGGAATCCAAGAGAGCCGTGAGAGGTCAAAGGTGAAACTAAAATAATTTGGTCTGGGTAATAGTATCATTTTGATGTTTCTTTTGTCATCCTGAAAATTCAATTCAGCAAAAATTAATTAAACACGTAATATATGAAAGGCACTGTGCTAGACAGGATAAAAAGACAAAAGCAAACTTCTCTGTCTTCAAGGACATTTTACTGGATGGGGGGGAGGCAGTATATCAATATCAGATGAACTGAGTATTATGCAATTATAGTATTGTTTCCTATGAAATTATAGTCATATGACTAGTAATTTTATCCAAGACAATGTTTACAATGTCATCTGGCCATTGTGAAATGTTTGTATTAAGGTAGTTACTATTTACATTAATGAGGAGGGGAAGGGTATAATGGCACAGATAACTGAAAGCAACTGATGCAAAATCTTTTTCTATTCAGTTTTTATCTGCTTTTTCTTTGCAGCAACTTTAGTATCCCTGTTAGAGTTGGCTATAGCCTAGAGCAAGTTAACAAAGGTAATCAAAGTAGGGAGTATTTAAACTCCTGAACATCTCGAACTACTTTGGTCATTTCAACCATTTAAAAGCATTGTGCTAAGTACTTGGGAGATAATAAAGTTTAGATAAGGTGTGGTCTTTGCCTTTGTGGAGCTTTCCATCTGGACTGTGTGAGTCCTGCTGGTTACAAGCAGATGGTAATAAGGACCTGTGGAATGGTAGTGGGAATAGAGAAGAGTCAGATGCACACATGCACACACGCATACTTGGCAATAGAAACTACAGGAATTGGAAACTCATTGGCTATGAGTTGAAGAGGGAAGAGAAGAAGAGAAGAAAACCTTGTTAGCAACCATGAGAAAGATATCAATGGAAATAATGAAGTGATAAGGAAGAGCACGTTTAGGAGGGAAAATAAGTTCAGATTTAGAAATGTTGAGTATGAATTGTTATTGGTATGTCCAGGTAGAGAAGTTCTGTAGGCAGCTGGAAATATAGAGGTCTGGAGCTTGGAAAGAGAGGTCATGATTGGAGATGTATATTTTGGAGTCATCTGTATAAAAGTAGTTTACAGTCATAGGAGTGAATGAGATTGCCAGGGGCAAAAGAGAAGAGGGCCCCTGAGTCCCTTGTTCACTGTGACTGAGACAGGAGGGAACCTTATCCTTGTACATTAACCTCTTTGTCAATGACAAGTCAGTTGATCAAATTTCTCAAATCTCTGCTTTCTCCACATGATTTTGAGGATTTTTATCAGTACTACTAAGGGAAGAGAGGGCAAGTCATTTTTCCTTTCTCATTTCTATGTTGCAGTGAGGTTACTCTGAGCATTGCCCCATAGCACCAAGAAAATGGAACAAGATAGTACTGCCCCTATAAGGGGTGCAAGGCTATTGGTTTCCAACCAATCACCATAGTTTCTACGTAATTCTAGGTATTGAATCTGGCCATGATGGCTGCCTGAAAGACAGGAAGACCTTTGGAGGCAGCTTTACCTGTTCTGGTGGGGAAGTGAGGAGGGGGACAGGCTAGAATGATTCCAGAGGCTTTCAGGTAGGGGAAAGAGGCCAATAGTATCTGATATGATTTCAGTTAGAAAGACATGAGGTCAATGTGTCCAGTAGAGGAGAAGAAAGAGTTCCTTTTGATATCATGTAGGGTAAAGAGAGGAGAAGCTTTGGGAGAAGATCTGAAGATAACCTAAGAAAACAATTGCCTTCTGAGAAGGAAGAGAAAGTTAGAAGAACAGGAAAAGGACAGAGTAGTTACATTACTTGTCTTATATTTAGTGCCAAAGCTTTAGGTTTTAAGGAGGGTGTTCTATTTGGGGTGTAGATATTCCGAAAAGCCCCCAGTATGGTGGGTTGTTAAGGGGGTAATTTCAAAAACACTTGCATAACTCAATATTTTCAAAAGAATTCATTTTTTCGAAAGGATTCATTTTCATAAGGGACTTAGGTTCTTCTAGTACTCTGTCTACTGACAAGCAGACAATAATAATAATAATAGTAATAGCTAACGTGTATTATATGTTATTACACTTACTATGTGCCTAGCCATGTGCTAAGTGCTTGACAGTTATCTTATTTGATCTTTACAAAAACCCTGGGAGGTAGGTGCTATTTTTCTACCCATTTTACAGATGAGGAAACTGAGGCAAATGGATATTGAATGACTTTACTGAGAGTCACAGAGCTGGTAAGTGTTTGTGGCCAGAATTGAAGTCGGACTCCAGACCCAGCACTCTTATCCACTGTACCACTTATCTGATTCCTACATAAAAATAAAAACTTCTGCTAACAGAGACACTGTAGTAAATGAGAGAACCCAGTTGTGTAAAACATTGATTTGTATTGTGGTGAGTTATTGAAGGTCAAAATAGAGTATGAATGGAAGGGGAGCCCACACAAAATGGAGAAATGTTAACGGTCAGGGCAACCTGTTTCTATCAGAATACAAAGATAGAAGAAACAAGAGGAAACAATTATGGAGAGAGAGAGGGGAAATAAGAAAAGTGGAGAGAATGGCAAACCTGGTGTTGAGGGGAGGAGGTAGATCAGGTAGGAAGAGCACCAGAATGAGTTGTCATCAAAGAACTCCAAGGGAAAAGGTTTTTTTCAGTCAAATGAGCAGGAACAGAAGCCAACTAACAACTGAGTCACCCTGACCCCAGAGTTGGGCTGCAATCCAGTAGGAATGAAGGAAGGAACCTTTGGCTGGGCAGAGGATTGACCTGTGTCTGTGTGCAGGACAAGGAGCAATTGCAGATCCAGCATCAACCAGCCCTAACCCAGTGTAACTTGCAAGAAACAGAAATGTAAGCTAACCTGCAGCTTTGTTGCTGTGACGCCAGAGTTGGGTCATAGAACCAACTTGGAGTGAGCAAATCTGTAGCCCTATAGGAGGGCAGGGAGCAGGGATGGTTCCAGCTTAAACCTGGCTTAACTGTAACTTGGGGCAAGGAGAAGAAAGCAATGTTTTATTGACACTGGAATGGGGCTGCAGATTGAGCTCACGATCTTGGTCGCTGAGGCCTGTAAACAAAGCAAGGACCAAGGGGAGAGACCCTTTCAACTAGCTGACAGCATTAGTCTGCAGGAGTTACAAACACTGGTAGAAAGAAAGAATTCAGGTACCAAAGAGCCCTGAGGGAGAACACACAAGATTTAGCAGTTACCACCAGGTAGAAGCAGAGAGCTTGTAATAAAGAAGATACTCCAAAAGGCAAGATAGTAGGTTTATAACCAATAACAATTTACCCCAAGAAAATTCAGTGTGATTTTAGAGGGGGTAATTTGGACTTTTAGTGAAAAAGAGGACATCGAGGATTCCAGGTGGGGGAAAAAAACAAAGCTACATTAAAACTTTGAAAATAAACACAAAAGAACAAGAGAAAAAAAGAAAGTAAGTACTAGTGAGCAATCCAAAGGGAATATACAAAAAGAAATGTTTATGTCATAATTGGAAGAGATACATGTGTCACCTCAGAACTCTAGTGTCACGATAATTCATAGGGGGATAGGCATGATTTTAAGTTCATTTAGGTGTAAAAGTGAAAGACTATACAAACAAGGAGAAAGGAATAGGGAAAACAAGCATCTGAAAGGGAAAAAGGAGGGTTATATACACATTGACACAGTATTGTGAAGAAATACTTCAAACTCAAAATAGGGAGAAATTCAGTGAGATGTGTTAAAAAGAAGATACAGCTACAAGTAAATCAAACTTCCTTTTCCTGAAAGAAGGAGTAAAAAGGGAAAGAAAAGAACTAGAATTTAGGAGAGTGCCACAAATTGCATTTTGGATAAGTTGTAAGTGACTGAATAAATATTAGTATTTGGATTTGTAAGTAGTACGTTATTTAAGAGAACTGAATGAGAGCAAGGTGAGCAGAAGAAGGAAAATAAAGGACAGTAACCGTGTAAAGAACTTTGAAAGACTTATTGTTGTTCAGTCAGTTTCAGTCATGAACAATTCTTTGTGACCCCATTTGGAGTTTTATTGGCAAAGATACTAGAGTGGTTTGCTGTTCCTTCTCCAACTAATTTTACAGATGAGGAAACTGAGCCAAACAGGGTTAAGTGACTTGCCCAGGGTCACACAGCTAGTACCTGAGTCCAGATTTGAACTCATGAAGATGACTCTTCCTGAGTCCAAGCCCTGCATGCCTGTGCTACATTGTACTGTGCCACCTAGCTGCCCCTTGGCTTAACACTAATCAATGTAATTACTATCCATATGTCCAAAGGTCCTATGATAAAATGTTTTACCCACCTCCTGGCAAGTGATAGATAGAACGTACAAAAAGAGACATGTTTGGACATTGCCACTGTGTGAATCAGTTTTGCTTGATTGCTTGTTTGTTACAAGGGTGTTCTTGGCAGAGGGGGCTTGGGTTGCACCTTTTTTTTCTCCATTTTTAATGGGGGTGGCAGAGGGGAGAGGACGTTTTTAGCAATAGTTATGTCAAGAAAAGACATTAAAACTTAATGCTCAGAAGAAAACAAAGTTTAGATGGAAATATATACAAGCAGGATGCTTTAAGAATAGCATTATATACTTTTTCAAAAGAAGTATGAAAATGAATTTCATAATTTCATAGAAAGCCCTGATTTTGTGTTCTGCTTTGTGTATAGAAAGCCTTTTTGTGGTTTTTAAGTTCATATTAAAAATAAAGATGCTTTTATCAACAAGAGAACAGATCAATGAATTGGGTATATTAACTAAAAATACTAGAAAACCAACAAATTTAAAAACATGAAAATAGAAATTCTGAAAATCAAATGAGAAATTACTAGTATCAAAAATGAAATGGGAAGAATTTACAACAAATAAAAAGAAAAAAAAAAGAAAAAAAATTTGAACCATAGTAAATAAATTCCAAAAGTGGATAAAGGAGATCTTCTCTAAAGGAGACCTGGTACCAGATGGATTTATAAGCAATTTGGTAAAATTTCAAAGAAAAATTCCAACTACATAATCTGTCTACAAATTTAGGGAAAGAAGAGATCCTACTAAATTCTGTCTATGTTACAAATATTAATCCATCAACCAGGAAAAATCAGAACGGAAAAAGAAAACTATAGATCAGTACCCCTGATGAATAATGACACAATTTTGAAATAATATGTTAACAAACATGTGATAGCAACATTTCAAAAACATTATACCCTATGATTAGGCTGGATTTATACCACAAATGCAGGGTGCAATATTAGGAAAACAACAAATAAGAAATCATATTAATAATAGGAACAATAAATCATAATTATATCAACAGATTCTGGGGGCAAAACATTTGACAAAATTTAATACTATTCCTATTTAAAAAAAACAAAACTAGAAAGCATAGAAATAAATGAACCTTTTCTTAATATGGTAAGTAGTATCTAAAATTAAGAGCCAGTATTACATGTAATGGAAATAATCTAGAGGCCTTTCCAGTAAGATTGAGGGTAAAACAAGGACATTCATTATCACCACTACTATTTTTACACCAGTCTAGAAATACTAGCTATAGTAATAAGACAAGAAAAAAATTGAGAGAATGCACACAGGCAAAGAAGAGACAAAATTGTCTCTTTTTGCAGATATGATGGTTTACTTAGAGAATTTGAGAGAGTAAACTAAAAATTTAATTGAAATAACTCAAGCAAAGTTGCAGCATACAAAATAAATTCACATAAAATCAGGTGTGTGTGTGTGTGTGTGTGTTATCAACAAAATCCAGCAGGAAGAAATTAGAGAAATTCCATTCAAAATAACTACAAAATGTATAAAACCTTTGGGAATCTACCTTTCAGGTCACATCTACATACACAGAGCAACTATGTGGCTACGACTGCAGAATATTCTTTAGAGTAATAAAGATAAATCTAAATTAGAGAAACATCTATTGTTCATAGGTAGACTGGGCCAGTAAGACAAAGATGACAATTTTACCTGCTGTTACTTTTTTCAGTGCCGTACCAATCAGAATACCCCAAAATATCTGTGTGGAGATAGGAAAATAATGAAATTCATGTGTAGGAACAAAGGTTTAAAAATTCTAAGGGAAATGATGATTGACTGTTGCTGTCACAGCTGTTACTCTGCCCTTGTAAAACTGCCACTGGCCATCCAACACAACTCCAGGTTGTCCTTCCACCTTTTCTCATTCTTCACTACACACAATGGAATAAGTCAATGTCATTAGTGCACTTCTTTCGC